CTTTAGCAGAATTTATTGTGGCTGGGAATGCTGTATTTACATAAGCAAAGAGTAAACATAGAATTTTTTTTTAATTATTTACTGCTCTTTTACAGAAAAAAAAAAAAAAAAAGACAAACTGAAGGAGGACTCTATCTGGAAGTGTGTCACCATCTAGTGACAGAGCCCGGGAGTGACAGTCAATCAGAGCTCTGTGTGCAGCTCAAACAGGTGAGATAAAGCAATTTCGTGATGGCTGAGCACAAAGCATGTTCACACAAAGAGCACAACACACATAACTGCCAGGGGATGGTTTCAGTCCTTCCTCAGGTGTTGCATTGGACTTCTCCAGGGCTGACAAATCCCTCAGAGAAGTCATTATATTTGCCAGATCAAGTAGTGCTGCCCCTTTGCCCCAGACCTTGGTGATTCTGCAGAAGCCATTGCAGGTGTCAAGGATGAATTTTCCTGTGTGAAATGCAGCGAGAGTGCTAAAGTACAATTCAGCAGCCAGGCAGCTGCAGAACAGTTTTGTTTCCCAGCTGAAACAGAGAAATTGTCACTGAAACTCACACGAAACTGAAATTGGTCAGCATGAAGACAAGGAGGTGTCCTGCCCTCTGTGCCTGCCCCCAGTTTGCTAGTGAGTTGGGAAGTCATATGCAAAACATAAAACTCAGCCACGATTAGCAAAAACATTAAAGATCAGAGCCAACTGCTGGACCTCCTCCCATCAGTCCTTCCCTGAATTTGTTTCCTCGGTGTAAAGGGACTTACACTTGGGTTAGAAGGRCGAGTGAGCAATGGGGACAGGTCTCTGAGCCCCTTGCAGGAGGCTGGAGCCACTCCATACGGCTGCTTTTCAGGGTGGTAAGCTGCAACTGTGCCACAATGGAGCCAGAGCATCCCTGTTCCTGCTCCAGGATGTCCAACCCCTCCTCACTGAGTGCCCTCACTGCTGGTGCTCAATGGCCCTCCCGGAACACCAGCTGTGTCCCACATTGCTGCCTCCTGTTGGAACTCAGCTCCTCGCCCCTTACAAGCAGCAGTGGTGACTCTGAAGCACAGACCCTCCAGCTAGTTTCCTTTGTTATTTCAGAGTTTGAGCTTAAAAATATTTTTCTGGTCATTATTCTCACCCTAAATATTTAGGTAAGAGGAGTCAAAAAAAGAAGAGCACTGACTGGTGCATGCCTGACCTACAGCAAAGCCAAAAGACAACTTCAGGTTGGCCCCACCACATGCCCGTCCAAACAAGAGCCATGCCCACGTTTGTACCATGGTGTTCAGTTTTCAAACTGAGCCCTTCTCTCTCCCAGCTGCAGGTGCCCCACTCTGCCCTTGTGGACACAGCAGGCAGAATTACTGGGGCTTCSTAAGATCCCAGTTCCCACCTGATGGCTGCTGACTGCCAGGACATCCCTGCTGGGACACAGGAGGTGTATGTGGGCCAGCAAACCGGACATCTGGAGTAAGGGCTCTTCTCTAAGSACTGCTAGAGGGAATGATTTCTTCATATTTTTCTGAATATTCAGAGCAAAGTTCTCTTCCAGACCCGCTTTCCTAACAAACCACAAAGCCCCACACTAGCTTTTATGCCAGCACATTTTCTGCTTCCCAGCAAACCCCTCTTACCTGAGAGTGCTGTGGGTGCCAAATCCGTTTCCCTGCGCGTGTGGGAGATGGGGCAGAGGAGCAGCAAAATCCAGCCTTGAGTGAAAAGCAGCAGGGAGAGTCCTGTCCAGGTGGACCCCAGAGCTCTGCTCGTCTCCCCGGGACTCTGCCCGTGGGTGGTGAGACACGGCGGGAGTTCTTAGTGGCTTTTATTCCGCCTGTCCTGCCGCTGCCACAGCTCTCGACGGCAGCACCGTGGGAGCTGTGGGATGCGGGAGCGCTTGCTGACAGAGCCCATCCTCATTAGTTTCCCCACTCCCACGGCTGGCTGGAGCCACAGCCCACCCTGTGCCGTTTCAGGGTGACAGCAGGGGGAAGCAAAGGACCCGACACAACTCTGAGTGTACAGGAGAGGAAAAAAAAAGCCTTCAACAAATTTCTTTTGCTCAGTCTTTTATTTTAGAGAAAAGAAAAATTATTTATTCAGAAATCGGTAGACAGTGATAAGTACTTGGTTCGTTCTTCATGCAATGCTCCCCCTCCCCATCAATGCAGCTGACAGAGATCTTTGCAAGCTGCCACATGTGTCACCTTTACTGTTGGCTCGTTCATGTCTTGAGTCACCCTGGCAGAGGTCTGTTTGTTAGGTGGTTACTTGCTAGGTCTCCTTCCTATCAGCAGGTGACARTCTGGCATCTCAGGTGTAATTACAGGTATGGATAATCTTCTGGAAAGCCCTTGTTTCTGTACAAGAGAAAGTGATTTTGAGGGAGAGCAGCTCTGTGGGAGGAGTGGCAGCGTTAATGAAGATTGATGTGTGTTTTGAGTCCGTCCAGAAAGGCCCCAGAGAAAGAAAAGGCGACCTGCTGCATTAATCATTGGCAGGAAGCTGACAAAGTGCCTGCTCCAGCTCAGAAAGGAACAACTCTGCTTTCAGCTGCCAGGTTTGCACAGTTCATCACCAACATAACTCCCACCGCTACAGGTTTTGCATTGAAAAGAGGGAGTCCACATTGGGTCAGCCAACAAGACAGGGTTTGATGGGTAACTTTGTGTTCTGCTGTGTCAGCACATGCCCAAACACAGTCACATCCTGGTTCTTACAATCTCTGTGCTTTTCCCTGCAGCATGGTCCAGCTTGCTGGAAAAAGCCCTGACCTCACCATGGTGTGACTGCCTGATTGCAGAAGCCTTGCAGAGTGAAAATTTTGGTGGAGGAAGTTTGGCAGTGAAGCAGAAGGTGAGACTGTGGCCTTTATCCACAGCTCTGAAGTAGGGGTTGATTTGAGCACTTAGACAAGGAACCCACACACTCTGTAGAGAAGGGAGCAAGGAAATACTTCTGGAACACCCCAGCGCTCTCCACTGGTGCTGGAAGGACCACAGCAGGAAGAGACTGAGACACACCACCCAACTGGCAAAACTGCACACCCTGGCTTTCTGTGTTCCAAGTTCTTTTTTCCTTCGGTGTAATAAAGCTTCTTCTTCCAGCAGAGAAATCTACTTTCCCAGTGGTTATTCCCAGGCCAGTGCCTGGCATGAGACATCAACAAATAGTTCAGTCATGTCCAATATCACTGCCCTCTCTTGGTGTGCTTTATTTCACTCTCCATGGAGCTCTGAGGCAAGTGTGGGTTGCCTTTGCCTGCTGAGGTGATGCCACGGGGTCACACATCCTTAGCCAGGGCTTTCCAGCTTGTGTGCTGCTCTCCTGTGACCGCTGGGGTCCTGGGCTGAGCTGAGCAAAGGKAATCTGTAATGCTGCCACTGAAGGCACAAGCCAGAGCATGCTCTCCTCAAACACAGCCCCSTCTCAGTCCAGGAGGGACTTTTACATCCCCCCMATAGCACACATTTGGGGTTTTTCAYCAGGTRCCTCTTTGGAAATGGTTGCACCTCACCATGATTTTTCCTGGCTACTTAATAGTTGGCATGGAGAGGGAAAAGGTCACCTAGAGATGTGCCTCCTTTCCAGTTCATGTTGGTGCTCAGTTTATTTTCACTCTCCATATAGTGCCTCAGGACCTTTTCCTAACATGATGACTCAGAAGTCAAAATCAACATAGAAATAGTCCCCCAACTCCTACATAATTTCTCTTTTCAAATTGGAAGAGTCTGACTGTTTTCTTAAATGCTGGATGTAATCACGWATGTTATATTTTCTTGTATAAATTATCCTTGTGTGTTGAAATATAAACAGCCAGTGTGAAAGAAAAAAATGTGTATTTATCTGCTGAGAAATACTCTGCTTGTGCAGTGGAAACCAATCATCAAAACTAACTGACTAGCATTTTAATGATTGCCTGCAGCAATCCTGAAAATTATAACATCAATCRTTGCAAGAAGATCATAGAAAAAAAGAGCAAGGACCAAGAGTTCCTGTGGCAGTTCAAGTGCAGCCAGTGTTGACAGTGACACTTCACAGTACCATTAAACTGCTTGATTCTGGTGTTTTTAAAGGAATATTTTGAGGCAGCCTTAGGAAGATCCTAGGACTAGAAGTGCTRTTGATGCAGGGAGTCACTGTATGTCCAGGCCCAAGTCCCCTGGGCTCTGAGAGCTGGGCAGTGGCCATCTCCATCCCATGGGATAGTCTGGAAGCTGCAGAGTTTGGTTGCAGGGCAGAAGCTGTGGAATGCTCTCGGCTGCTGACACACACAAGATCAGACCAGGCACTTCCCCCTCACTTGCATCTCTGAGAAAATTTTTTTGTGTGGATGTCACTCTAAGTTACAGAGCCAGGTGAAGCCTGCTGTGGTGGGTGTTTCGGCTCCTTGGCTTCTTYCCACAAGACTGTCTTGGATGTTTATGTGCCAGTCTCTATGGCAGTTTACTTGGCAATGCCCAAGAGGTAAAGCAGAAAACAAGACAATATCAGACTGTCTGCTTCACRCTTTCCTTTACTCAGAGTAATTTATCACAATGTAATCGACGCCTAAGGAACAGAGAGACAAAAAACAAAGTGTGCTGGACAACCTCCAGGGAGAGTAACTTTAATAAAATCTAGTAGGGGATAACAGCTCCTGTTGCAGCTTTCTCTCAGTTTATTCAGAGGGTCTCTTTTTCTACTTTAAATGTGCATCACACAAGCAGAATAGGACAAGGTTTGCCTTGTTTTTGTAGGAATGATTACAAGACACAAAGGCAGCAGCTGTGGCTTGGTATACCTGGGAATCTCCAGCCCCAGATACCAGGGGATAATCCAGGGAAAGAAACAAGAGATGCTCCCTGGATCCATAGTCATTGCTCTTCTAAGACAGGGTAATTGGCGAGATGTCCTCATCTCATTTGCTTGTATCACAGTCTTCAACTACTCCATCAAGTTCAATCATGATTGACAAATAGATTTGCCAGTTATTAGAGGGAACAACCAGACAACAGAACTCAGGGCAGCAAACACACATGGTTTGTTTCCGTAGAAAGCCAGGCTAAACCAAAACTCTGGTGCTTGAAAAGTTACTAGTGAAACTACTTCTTTATGAATGCTTGTTCATTTCCTATAGGGGAAAAAAAAGTTTTATTTCACTTATTTCCTTTTTACTGAATGGCATTGTCTCTCACTGGTAGTTCAGGAGGTCAACCTGTGTGCGGTTCTGTGTAAAGAAAATGTTACTTGGGTTGTTTTTGTGCCAACTTTGTAGTCCTATATTCATCGGCTTGTATACCCAAAAGGTGTTTGTGCCTCTAAATCTGACCTGGAGGAAAGTGCAGGGGCAGCGCGGSCAATTTAAAAGCCAGCTGTTGGCTTTTGCAGCTCAGCTCGTGGGCTTTTTGGAACCTTTGCTCGGTGCTGAGGGAGTCTTTGCTCGCGGTGTGAAGGGGAGTTACACTGTTGCCGTTTAGCTAGCTCGGGTTTGTTAGCTTGGGCAACAGTTTTTCCATGGATAGACCCCCTCTGCGGCTGCTTTGATTCTGCTTCTGGAGCAATTCGGCCGCTGCGTGGCTCCATCTGGTCCTGGACTTCGGAAGAAGCCAAGCCGGCAACAAAAAAAACACACCGAGCCCTCTGTTTCATCCACAGTGAAGAAAGGACTATAATCCAGGCTTTTGCCACTGTTATGGGAGCAGCCACGTGGGTTTTTCTTTTTGTTTCTTTTTTTCCAGGGACAAGCGCCGCCATTTTCCTCCACACCACTGGCGAGCAGCTGTGGGGGAGGTGGTGGCGTGTGTTTCTGAGTTTTAAATATCTAACAGTTACTTTTTATCTGTGTCCTGTGGGCACTGTGTTTTGTTAATAAACTACGTTTTTTTCTCCTCACTTTTGCCTGAACATCTATTTCATATTGGTGAGAAAAAATWATAAAATTTTTCACTTCAGAGGAAACATTTACTCTGTAACATTTTTCTCTGAAAACATTGTCTCAAATCAAGACAACTTTACATAATGAATACATTGCTTAAGAAATTCCAGTCCTCTGTTCCCCTCCTTACCCACCAAAGTAATGAATTGCCCAGATTAATGTGAGCAAAATTTACCCATAAGCCCTGAATATCAACTGGGAAATTCCAGTGCTCTTGAAACTTGTAATCAAAGAAAGTGGAATTAATAAAAATACAAAAGCCAAAGCCCCCACTGAGGTCCATGTATTATTTGTTTATGCCTCTACAGAGTGTGCTAGACAAATGTGTAGAGTTTGCAAAACCCTTTGAGAATCCTYGAAAAATGAAGTGGGGGAAAAATGATTAGCTCCTCACACAAGGGCATAATAAAGCTACTGAACATTTCCGTCTGTGCTTCATGCTGGAGTATGAGGGAAAGTTACCACAGCTGAATAAAATGCTAAACTCTCCCAGCAGCAAAATGTCTCCTTGAACATAACAGCAGGAATAAACCTCTCACTTATAAGGTATAGTTGGCAAAAAAGGCTTGTAACTCACAGAGGTTTTACATGGAATGAAAAGGAAAAAAAAAAAGCCTGTAAAGTTACTATTCCTGAAAGATGATAATCTAAATCAGCAGTTTAATTTGCACTTCCACGTATCAGAGTTAATAATCCCATTGCATACAGACATAATAAAAAGTGCTTTTCCTTTGTCAACAGAAGATAACATTGTGCATTTCCATTTTTTTTAACTTCATTTTCTCACTCATAAAATATGCCTTTTGCCACTTTTCAGTGTGT